CAGAAGCCAATATTACAAAAGATTGCACACCCTAAGGCAATTGGTGTTTCACGTCGCTGTCCACGCCAGAGTCGGTGCTGGAGGCTCGATATCAAATTGAGCTCTTTGATGCTCTTCAGAATGTTTGGGAAGCCTCTACGTTCGCTAACAAGCACGTTGGGGATCGTCGTGCAAGAGCAAAGGTGTGAACAACATCCAGCCACTTCACATTCACACTCGTGCTTTGCAAACGCAGGACGACTTTGCCTGCTGACGATCCTGCGGTCGTTCCCAGAAAAAGGTTCCGCCGACTTCGTCCTGCAGCAATTTTTTTGGGGCGGGTGGGAGGGGGGGGGGTGGGGGCCGGGGGGGGGGGGTGGGGGCGGGGGGGGGGGGGGGGGGGGGGGGGGGTTGGGGGTGGGTGGGTGGGTCGGGCGGGGGGGGGGGGTTGGGGGGTGGGGGGAGGCACGACCTCACATGTCGGTTCTCGTGCGAGTGACTTCGATCGGACGTTCTCGCATGCAACAATGCACGGACATGAGCTCTTCAACTAGACCAACTAGACTAGACAACTCGGCGGCAAAGACCTCGTCGAGGTCTAGGTCGAGGAAGTCCTAAAGTAGCAAACGCTTGCAGGAGGACTCCGACATCCGAACGGTTCAAGGAACCCCAGCACCTCAAAAGCGCAAAAAGTATTCTACCTGGCGTCAACCCCTGACACGCTGGCGATCGTGTCGCTGATGGCCACAGCAACCTGGGATGGATCGGACGGATTTTAAACCTTCATCAGCACCAAGCCCCTCAGCCCAAAGGGCCCAGTGCATGCTCCACTCGCCTTTAAGGATTCGTAAATCTGCACCTATGTTCGCTGCCACACTTGGAACTGCTCAAAGAGCTTCGCTCGTGACAACGCACAACGCCTTGTGGGCTGCTTGGCCAAGGCAGCGACCGGCGTGGTCTGCTCAACAAGGATGGACCGCGTGAACAAAGTCACGAAGTCAAATTGTCCCTAGGCCAGCAAGGAAATGTCAGCCAGAATCCAGGGCCCCAAAGAGACCAAATACCATGACTACGAACCAAGGCTTGGGGGGTGCCCATTAACGAAGATTTTGGAAAGCACAACTTGGAAAGAGTGATCGCAAGAACAGCAGGCCCGAAGCACACATGTAGGTTCGGAGTCCGCGAGCGCTTCAGTCAAGGGTTTCAGAGTCTTCTCAATTGCTGTGCAATGTGTAGATTCTGCACATGGTGGTGTTCTCAAGGAGCGGGCGTCTGCTGTATCTACCATTTGGATCAGGAGCGCTTGTGGGGAAGACCTTTGAAGACCTTGGGGAACGAATTCCTGGAGGAGCTGCGGGAGGAGCTGCGGGAGGATTCCGAGGTACGACGGTCTGCTCTGCTCTGCCTCGTGGATTCCACTTAAGGTGCTATCGGGCCGCCCGTGTTGTGTCCGACACCAGCTGCAGCTCGTTCGTCCCCACGAGCTCGTCCCCCACCTCCGCACCACACAGTTTACAGAAGTGTAGCCTGGACCCTACGAGTGTCTTCATGGAGGCTCCCTTCCTGCACAACTTCACTATAATTCTGAGACTTTGGTGAACGTTAGCTCGGACTCAGCTACCAGTACTCCGACATAAACGCATGCTTGGGGAGACCCGAACAGAAAGATGCTGATGCGGATGCACCGTGTACTACTCTAGCCAGGGACCGTCGCGGGTGTCATATACAATATGACGGTCCCAAGTTGGTTTGAGCCACTCTTTTCCGGATGTGGAACCTTGCAGGAATGTTTCGTTGTCAACCTTCAAGCCCTTGCTTCACACGCCAGTCCCTTCCAGTCCCTTCTGAGATAAACAGCGCATGTAGTACGAGCTGTCTTGACTGAGCTGTTGTCACACAGTGCCTTGCCTTTGTACGGCTATTCCCAGCGGCGTCGACCGACAGGTACAGCATGTAGCCAATGGTCCTCACATTGTCCGCCTTACACATCCAATTGTGCGCGACCGCTGGCAGCAGCATTAATACTTGCTACCAGATCAGGGCAGCAGTGGGTTCCTTCAAACGGCTTAGGTTTTGAGGGTGAACTTGGAGTGACTCGGTGAGAACCTTGAAAGACACAAATTTCAAAAACGCTTAGCGCCCTTCGTCCGTGCCGACTTGTTTGTCTCTTTAAGAGGTACTCCGACGCGCCAAGTGAGCCAAGCCGCGGGTGGGCTCCAACTGATCCTCAGCGGCCCGATCCAAGACTTCTGAACTCTCTATTAGCGCAGATACAAGCCCTACAGACCTACATATGAAGAACGTAGATTTCCGAGTGTACGATAGACCGATAGACTATCGTCTAGTATGCTATGGTCCGGCAATGTCGGGTCTTGTGGCAGGCAACAACAAAAGTGGGAGCATGCCATGCGCTGCTGCTCCTACTGAACGAGTCCACCAGCAATTCCAAGAACACAAGCAAAACAATTCATATACTCGTCTTCTTAGTGGTCCATCTCGTCTGAATGCCTCTCGTAGTGGAATTGCTGAATCTCTTGCTTTGTTGCTCTCTTTCTGCCACCCCACAAGCCTCCAAAATCCGAAGCCCCGAAAGCTGGCACTATGACTGCCACGAAGTACTCTTAGTGGTATGATTATTGCTGCGATCATTGCTGCTGCTGCTGCCGCCCACTGCTACTGCTACTGCTACTACTGCTGCTAGCACTTGCTTGTTCTGCATCATTTCCAAGAGCTCTGTCAGTCCATGGATCGTACCACCGAGGTCGTCGAAGTCCAGATCTCGATCCAGGAAGTGGGCACTCTGAACTGTCGCAAAGGTGTCACCTCTGTGTAAGCCGAGTCGGGGTTCATGGCTTCGAGTAGAGTTTGGGCAAAGGTGCAAGTTTAGGCCTTTAAGGTTAGGGCTTGCCGGCCTCATGTCTAAGTACTGTGATGATTGCATACGGACTCGTTCGGGCTCACATAAACAGGGCCAATGTATGCTCAACTGCTTTATTTGCCCGATGGGCGTTGGCAGTAAGCTACAAGACTTGCCACTACAGTGTGGCTCGGGTACTTGGACCTTCAGGCAGGAAAAGCCCTCTAATCCGTCAAAAAAGGGCAGCTCTCATGTTGAGTCGAGGAGTTTGGGATGTTTGGGAGATATGAAACTTTGTGAAACAAACGAAACCCAAGCTACAAGTCCTCAAGGTCTTAATTCTCTCCGGTTCTCCACTTCACTATACTGATTATAGAGTTAAGAGAACTTTAATGGCCCTGCCTTTGGCACTGCCATGTATTCTCTGTGCCAAGTCCGGTCGAGTCACTGATCGCCAGGCTTTCTGGTGTGCTCTGCTCGGCCAAAGCGGACCTGCAGACAGGCGCAGCACTGGAGATTCCCCACAGATTCCCCGCCAGAGGCCCTGGCAGATACACTGGGCCTTGTATAGACGACGACGTGCGAGTAGTTTGCGAGGGGCTGCTCCTGAGTTGCCATCGAAACACATAGACACTATGTGTAAGTCGTAAGTGATGTTGAGGCCAGGGGGCACAACTGTGCTGACGGCTCTTTTGGACATTTACGTACGGAAGCACTCAATAGTGGCGTTTCCACACGGTCGCACTGGTCAATGCCACGGAGGTGCTGCCTGCACGACAGCCTCCTCTGCGTCGGCGGCTTGATGGGCGATCCTCGGATCCACAAAACAGAGACTCCTGAATCGATGACCATCTGTTCTTAAGAAGAGCTGTTGTGTGCCAAAGCAAATACCTGGAAGCCGTCCACTGTCTATCACGTGTTTACGTGGGATGTAGTGCCTGATTTCCGAATGAAGGCAAACGTTAGATATCATTTGAAGAAAAGATGCCAGCACAAATGGCTAAACTACTTCTGGCTAGCAGTGCGCCAGGATCTTCAAGCATCCTGGTCTTGAGACAATCGCAAGGATGATGATTGTGATGAGTATAAGGGCTTTGGATTCAACAGCCAGCTGCACACACTTTCTCTTGAACTCCTCACAGCATGTTTCCCTAAAGATGCCTGCAACACTGGCCATCGAGTCACCAAAACAAGTCGATCACTCCAGACCCAGTGCCGTGATACAGTCCAGTAGTTATATTAATTTTAAAGGTCCTGTTGATCCTGCTGGGCCGAGCTTGGATGATGACAGTGATGCGCAGGAAGTTGTTGTTGGAAGATGTTGGAAGGAAGCAGTACGAGGACTACTATGGGATCTGGAGGCCCCTGTAGCAAAGCGGCTGAGATCGGCTAGTGCCGGCAGCATCTGCCGCCAGATAGGACACAAAATGAGACACCTCCCGGAAAGAGGGGCAGTCTGCAGTGGGGCCCGCGAGCCAACACCCACAGAAGCGAAGAATCAGAATCCTTAACCCAAAACCCGATCTTCTCAAGTTGCAGCGAAACTTTATCCTTGACCATTCATACTCGCAATCAACGTGTGCGCTCATGCACTCGTGTACGGTTGTGAACGGCTGTACTCTAACAACATCTACAAGTGTTATCAACAATGCCCGAAGGGTGTACCCAAAGAGTATGCTAGTCACTGCTAGTCGAAGAGGGTGACCATTCGAGCATGCAGTGCTACGAAGTATTCGGAGCTCCGAGCTCTCTGGGAGGGTCCTCGGCCATGTCCTCCGGCGGTAGCCACGTCACATTGCCCCCGAGCTCATCATCGTCTAAGTCGTCGTCCAGGAATACCTTTCGGCGAGGTGATTGCAAACGTAAACCTGCTACCCAACTCAGATTCTACTAGATCTTTCCGTCAGATTGAGCGATGAGATTTGCACAAACAAGCTAGCTCTTCTGCAGCTTCTCTTTCCAGCACTAGTTCTAGTACTACTACTCCTTCTCCTGATAAAGGAGGAACTCGAGGGGGAACTCAACTATACCTCCCAACAGCATCCGCGAGACAATGCCCGACACGCTGGCATTCGTGTTGTTGATGACCTGAACGTCTCTGGCTAGCCGAGAATCAATTGTCTGATGACGACTGCACAATCTGCACCATGCATTAACCGGACTTTCAGCTCATAATGAGATCTGTGGGGTCATGACGACCAAGGTGTTGACAAAGCCTGTAATGCAAGATCCGCTTTGAGAAAGCACCTTTTTGCTGCCAGCTGGCGAATACGTGCGGCGTCGTCTGCTCCACCAGCGAAGAGCCTTTGTCCAATCCGTGATTGCAGACCTCCTGACCTCCTTAGCAAAAGACTCCAAGTATTCCCCTGCTGTGCAGCCAAGGTGCGGGTGTAGATCTGGATGTGCGATAGAGGGCCCTGAAGGAAATCCACCGGCACGTGAATGATGTTCGTGCCCACCTGCTCTGGAATGCCAATCGCCCATTTTCGGGCATCCCCACCATAACAATGTCAGCATATTTCAGTTGCTTCCGCGAGAACGTGAGAAAACAGAAGAGCAGGGGCTGGACTCCAATAATTGTGCATATGATGCAGGAACGCACCTGGGTTCAAGGTTGATGATCCCAGTGCCTGCTCTAATACTTCTCTGGTCCCTACTTTCTTTTACTCTACGCATTTCCAGTCGCCCAATAGAGGTTCTTCACTCACAAAAGAGGCACTCGGGAACCGCGCTCGTGTCCCAGTGTTTGTAAGACACACTTACGAACAAAACTTAAAGGGAGGGGAAAGGATTGTTTTACGGTGGTCTAACCTGTTACAGGTATTTGTCCTCACCACTTCAGGGGCCGGGGCGAATGGGAAAAAAAACAAGCTTAATTCTGTTTCTTGAGTGGAGTGGGCACCGTTGGCCGTCAAACGACCAGCGGAGCAAAATCGAGGGCTTGATCTATCCCATGCCAAGCTTTCTGAGCGCGTCTGCTCTTGGATTCACGCTGAGGATGCAACTGCGTCGTTCTTGTGCGTTGATTCGTCTAGCAGCCTTACCCTGGCCTCGCCCCTCCTGTACTAGCTGAGGATTTGATCATGCTCGCCGGACCCATGTCATTTTGACAGGCTTCTCAGCAGTGATGGATAAGCACACACCTTCATACGAACAGAAACAATCGTAACCCAGAATTTCTACCTTGCGCGCCTCTACCGACGCTCCCAGTTGCGAGCGATTCGTTCCCACGGCCTGTGGGAATTCGACCTCAGGCTCCCACAGCAAAGTCTAGTAGATCGCCCTAGTGAGTAATGATGTACCAACAGATGCTAACTGCACGCTCAAAGGTTACAGGCCATAAACTAAGCGCCCAATAACAGAGAATCGATGTGTGAGGATCCAGGCCACCGGCTCTGAATCCATTAGGGCATGAGTTTGCGTAAGGGCTAGTCGGCAAGCCTGCAATGAAATACATATTTAATTTGAGCGGTCCAGTGGCCAAGTAGATGTCGTAATGGGTGACTTGCGACAAGTCCTCATGTCTCGTAGCGGACTTGGCAGGAAAAGCTCGGGGACAGGGGACCATTGCTGTCACTGACCGAACCTGGCTTGCGTCTTGCGGTTGCCAGGGTTGTGTCACTAATACATCCACCGCATTGAGCCGCCTTTCAAGGCTTGCCCAGAAAGTTCCAGAAAGCGCTGGAAAGATGAACAGCATGGAGTCCCTCTTTCGCCCGCCATAAACAAGCTTGACGCATCTGCCTGAAACCAACTTGAATATTCTTGAAGGCAATGCCTGAAAGCTGATGAGTTGTGGATTGCAGTGAATACCCGTCTTCGGGGGATGGGATCATGGGGGAGCCAACTTCCCGGCGTGAGGGTCCTCAGGTGCAGCCCATGTGATGGGCCCGCCGATGTCGGCAGCATCGAGGTCCTGTTGGCAGCCATCAGGCAGGGAAGAGATTCAATGCCTCCTCTACAACGCCATGCTCGCTAGGTCACGTGACCTGCTGCTGCTGCTGCTGCTAATTAGGCATTGCAGCGAGAGACCAAACTGAGAAGAATTGGTGGCAGGAGTTGTGGCTGTTGCTGCAGATCTGCTTGCGGAGTTGCATGAGCAGTTGCTGTTGTGGAAACTACTACTGGTGCTACTTCCTCCGCTCCTCCTCCTCCTGCTCCTCCTCCTACTGCTGGCGCCGGCGCCGCTGCTAGTGCTGCTAGGCTGATAGACGAGTGCCCAAGAGAAGACTCTTCGAACTTCGAACGCTCTCCTGCTCTTCCAAGGCCCCGCTGCTCACAGAAGCACTGAGATCCACCAACTCGAAACCTAAGGCACCACTATGCACCACTGCACCACCCTTTGGTTGCAGGGTTGATGGCTTCAGGTCTGGGCTTGGGGTTCAGGTGACAGGGCGGAGATGCGATTCCGAACTGGTCAACGCTCTGTCGCTTTCAAGAAGTGGCTAGGTTTGGACCTCCACTACACCGTCGGGGCTTGAGGGGTACAGGTCTGCCGTGATGAAGACTTTCCGGAGCAAAGTCTTGCGATGCTTCACACGGCAGTTCCTGACTCCAAGATGGCAGACCTCCATAACCCTACAACCCGACATCATCCTACGTCCCTTGCAGCCCTGGCAGAGAAGCTCAGAAACGAGGAGCCACTTGCTTTCAAGGCACTGACAGGAGTCGACTGCTCAGCCAGGCTGGATTTGGTGTAGACCTGTGCTGGGGCTCAGTACCTCTATCACAAGGCAGGCTGTCATGGCGATCGTTTCATGGAGCCAAACCTTCCAAAACTTACGTGGGCCAAGGAGCCAGGATTTGCGAGTAATCGGATCGGTCAGCCACGTCCTCATTTCTTTCTTCAGCTTAAGGCTTTTCGGTGAAGCTCTTGTTTCTAGGTCTCTCTTTACAGGGCATGCACCCAGAACTCGTTCCAACAAGGTGACAACCTCGACCTGATCCCTACAGCATCCCCTCATACTGGCTTTTTCTTGTTCTGCGGCCGTGAATGTTCATGCTTCACTGTTGATAACATCCCAACAGACCCAATTCCAAGCAAGCTCCATGCGAACGAGCGTCTGGCTCCCTGATGGGCTGTTCCGGCAGCAAGCTGATGTCAAAGGTGGTCCATGGAACTTCTGAGCCCACCTGCCCAAAGGGTCCAGGCTGATCCCCAAACCCAGTACCTTTGCGGGAAGTATTGGAGAATGGAGCTGCGCATCTGTCTTCAGACGGATTCGTCCCATCGAGACCCCGACTCACAGAGCACAACTGGTTCATTCCCAAAGACAACAAGGTCCTTTCTGCGTGTGCCAGCCTGTGACCGATTGCCGCCGTAGGGATCTTCAGCGATGTAAGCCACCTCGTTGAAGCAGAGCTTTCAGGCTTTTTAAGGCTTGGCAGTGGACTTCAAAGCGAGGTGGGAGCCTCACGGCTCAAAGTAGGGCGAATGTTCTGTTGCACCAGGATGCGGGACTTGCCAGAATCCAAAGAAACCATAGCATTTCGACTCTGAAGGCAGATGCCCGGGGGCAGAGTCAATGGTAGGGGCGTGGGTGGTGCGGCTTTGCAGGTACTTTCACAATGGTACATGGAGACACTAAACCAGCAATGCATGTAATCTACGTTAAGATCTCAAGTAAAGCCGTTCAGAGGCAGCCAAGGTACGTAGTGTTCTACCAGTGCTGCGTGTCTGGGCTCGGTCCAGCTTATGGTGCCTTCAGGGCAGATACAGCCTCTCAAACAAAATGTCCTGATGGTGGGTGGCACTGATGGCCTTGGTATGGGAGGAGGTCTTAAGATCAACTCTCGACAACGTGTTGCGCACAGCAAACGGGGCGAGTCTGTTTGGGCTGCAACGGTTCTGGCGTCATCTAAGCTTCCTTCCGTCCCATCACAGGAACATGCCCCGCCCAGGCCCTTGGCCGATCACCTTTTCGCTATCCGGTGTTTGCTGGCATCCAACCCCTGCCCTGTCTGGGGAGGGAGGACGGGACTTCAGACGAGGGCTGTCGGTCCAGCTGTCGATGATAAGTCCGAACGGTATGGAGAGGGCTGCGTGCATGCGCTGGCCATTAGCCCAACTCTAGCCCAGCCTTCCCCGTCGCAGACACACCCCCACATCCCCCATGTCTTGATGGAATGATCAAAGTCTGTGACTTTGTCTGGCTCGTCTTGTCTTCATGGCAGTGGCCTGATCGCCGGCTCTATTGGCTGCAAAGCCTCACACTCTGCATTGAGAATAGGCCTCCAATTTCGCGCAGGTCCAAGTCTCTGTCCGTGAAGTTGACTGAGGACACGCTGGAGTCAGTATCCTTGCAGGCTGGCCCGTATTATACTTGAATATACTGCACTTTGCAAACACTGGGTTTCCAAACTCTGCCAGCACAGGCTGTTGGATGCCTAATAACTCAGGCCAAAAGCCAATTAAGCGGCGACCGGCTTATTCGACTCCTACGTGAAGCATCAGGCAAAGAAAGGGGCGAACACATCATCACCTGTGATCTTACATTCCGAACACTCCGCTGCCAATGGGTGGATGCCGCCAAGCATGGATACAGTTGTATGCCGCATGTTTTCGATTCGCGGTTGTACCTCAAAGAAACTGGGTCTGTACAAGAACGAATAATAAGCTCGAACAGCCCAATTCCCAAAACTGACAAAACTTTCCTACTGACTGATTCTGGCGAACGCGATGGACCTCGACTGACAATGACTGACACTCCCACGACATCCACGACAAAGAACTGGCTTTCCTGACACGTCAGGCTCCTTGGCCTCCTTTGCAAAGCTTAGGTGGGGAGGGTCCTGTTAAGGCGCCCAGCAAGCATGAACCCTGTCAAGCTGCATCTGCATAAAGCTCAGCGGACGCTGAGAGCCTTCTCAATGCCCGTGGGCAGCTGTGGCGTCCAAACTGTACACCAGCAAGGCTTGCTTCTATGAAGTCTGAAATGAGACCCTAGTCTCGCTCTGTTCAGGACTCTGGCGTAGTCCGACACATACCAAAAAACTCAGGTGCGAGAGTCGTTGAATGCAAGGGCCAGGGGTGTGGTCTGCTCTGCCAACGACGAGGCCGCATACCTAGGGCCCAATGGAAAACGCAGGTCGCAGCTGCTCGCCAGAAGAGCTCAACACGCTCAAGCACTTCTTAACGGGAAGATCAGAGAGGCGCCGCCTCCGGGCTGAGCCCTGCTCCAGGAGTGAAAGAGTGTGGCTCCCGGGTGGATCTAAGTACGACTTGCACCTGCCTTTTTCCCGCTGGTTTCTCATGCCAAGGTGCACCAGGACTGAAAGACCGGTCGGGCCGGTCGGCTGATCAGGTGGAAGGTCGATCTGATGCACCTGAGCCATGCCGAATGGATGCCCCGTGAACCCTAACTTGAATCCTGGCAAAAGCTGCGAGTCTCTGCGTACAATGCGGCCCTTTTGGCCTGGAGGAGAGGTGCAGACCAGAGACCCTAAAGTTTTCAAACCCTGAAAAGAGCCAGCAACCATCACCAAGGCAAGCGCGTCGTCAGTTGTGTTGCCCAGGAGAGACCTCTGGCCACCGGAGGCATCTGCGAAGTAGATATAGTAGCCTGACACCTTCAAGGCTTCACACACTGTTGCTGTTCCAGCTTGTAGGTTTGGACAACTCTTGATCTTTCCGTCGTGGTTGGTTCCTTCATGCAGCTCAGGATGTCGGATGCAGGATCAGAATGAACCTTTGCAGATGACGTTGCTGAAGTGAACTAGCCCTTCCGCAAAAGGGGGACTGCAACTAAAAGGGTCAAGACCCCATCAGGAGCCTACCGTACCGCGGACCCACTGCCGTTGCCTGACCACTGGCCTCCCCTTTGCCGCAACACGGCATCTGAAAAACACATGACAGGCAGAAGCCTAAAGTAGTGCAGAAGCAGCGGCAAACTAAGAGCGTGGAGGAGTGCTTTGTCCCGAGCCTGCGCGTGATCAGGCGACGGGAGCCAAGTAACCTCACCGCCCAAGTCGCCGACATCTAAGTCCAAGTCCTGCAAGCCGGAGCCAGTTCTTGCAAATGAGACGTCCAAGATGCTAACGGGCTTCCACAGTACCAGAGTGCTGTTTGTACAACTTCTCCAACGCCCCACCTGAACTGGAAAGCAAGCGCAAACGCCACCAAGAAAAAGGTTTTTGTTGGCCGTGCCCTGGTGTTACCAGCAACCTTTGCCCTTGTACCCCATTTTTGGGCCTTAAGTGCATGCTCAAGAATTTGTCAGTGTTGCTGGGCATTTTCGGTCACACTCTGCCAGCTTTTCATCCTTGCTCAGACCTGGTGATCTTGATGCAGGTTTATCGGAGAAGTGCAGCCACCCTGTGCCACGCGGGCTTGACACAAGTGCGATCACAGCTGCACTGTCTGCCATTGTCTAATATTGTATACCCTTCCTTGAATGGCAAAGTGGAGGGCCGAAAAAGCCACAAAGGCAAAGTGTCCGTGAAGTTGATGGCGAGCACTTGCGAGGCGGAGTCGCTCAGCGTGAAGGCTACAGGTGTCGTCTGCTCCACAAAAGAGGATGCCGTGTACCTTGGATAACGGTCACAACTTCAAGGCTTCCTGTGGCTCGATTCTTACATCTGACATCCTGCCGACAGGCCAGCTAGGCTACAACAGCGAAGGATCTGGAATCTTCAACCATCCGCGTGTTTTAGGTTCCGTCTTGTTTTCGGTTCTGTCTTCTCGTTTGATTTCAAAATTTCCTTTGAGTCTCCCAGCTCTGTACGAAAGCCACATGTCTCCGGTCCCCGGTGAAGTTGCGGGGCTTCATTCCGTGGCATTCGCCTGATCAGCGACACGTAGTGTCACTTAGCAGTAAGAGAAAGGACCGACAATTCGTTTTCGGGGCGGTCGGACCGGATCCAGAAACGCTGGCCTGTGCATGGGCTCTACTCTTCTCAGAAATCAAGGGGGGCCCGGGGCAAGCTTCCCACCTGATCCGTAGACTCACAGAACCCTGTAGACCCCAGTCAAAGCCAGGGCTTCAGCATTTTCAAGTTCCACACAGCTGAGATGCACGATGACATACTGAGAGTTGTTGAGTGCCTGGTCCGGGCTCAGGTCGATTGAGTTCGTCCCGACCTCCGCAGGAACCCAAGTGATCCCAAGTTGTCCCAGTTGCGCGATTCAGAACAACTACGGCCGCGAGGTGGGGGGATGAACTCCCTGTCCTCCAGGGTGGAATATGATGTATATAGTACCATGATACAGCATACGTATAGTATACAGTGAAAAATGTCTACTGTATAGTCAGCATGACCTGTATACGATACAAGCCCGACTGGGATCCCGGCAGCCACGAAACCTCCCACCAGAGAGCGGCCTTGCCCTGACAAGCTCGCTTCATCATGGAAGTGCCACACAGTACATGGAGTACATGTGTGATCATTCGTGCGACCCTGCCGATCCGGAAATTTCGTGGCGTTTGGTAGCCTAAAAGGCAGTCTGAGCATGGCAGAAAAAATGCCTTCTGAAGATTCCGCGAGGTAGACGTAGTAGCCGGCAACCAGGGTGTCTGGCTGCGGGGGAGACCTCGACAATCTGCATGCGGTCTCCCTCCGCAACCCTGATCACATGAAGCTACAGAGCTCACGCGGAGTTCTGTGTTGAAATACGGCAGCAAAGTGGAAGCAGTGACCACTGCATCCAAAGGTGCCAGATGATGGTTCCACCCAGCTCGAACTCATCCAGATCCCGATCGATAAGTGCCAGCTGTGACACCGAAGCCTGGCACTGTGGGAGAGTACTACAGCACTATAAACTACCGTGGTCGATAGTACTGTAGCACCACTAGAACCGCAACATAGTGCTACAGTCGTCGTAGCAATATTTGCAGAAAGCCGTGGTAGCGCTAGTTGGCATCACGAACCCCTGTGGGCACAGTGGGCTCTGGCAGCTTCATGCTCTAGATGCGAATGTTCTTCGCAATCAATTTCAGGCAAGTAGAACAGAAAGTTTGCAAATTCCTGCGCAGCGAAGCATATTTGTCGCTTGCTGCGCGACTGCTCCCCTATCTCAAGTGCGACAGAGCGACAGTCTCGTCCGTGATCAAATGCCACGTGGGCACCGTCCTGGCAGCAACCAAGCCCGAATCCGTAACCCATGTACCACGACAGCTGACGCCACACCTGAAAGCTTCGACTGAACATCCTAAAGAGCAGCTGAACTTGAAGCCGCGGCCACTTTCAGCTTGCAGCCCCAAAGCCGAGAGTCTGCTCGCTAACCTCCGTCTTGGTGTAGATGAGCAGATGGGTATAGTTTTGCAGCTCGAAGTTGTGCCTCAAACTGCCAAGGTTGACAACAGCAACATCAGACGTGTCTGGATGAAGCTTCAGACAAAGACACTGTCCCCTCCGGATCCCTCCGCTGCCAACGAGGCTCGGCAAGATTGCAGTGGTGGTCCCGAAGGGCAGCTCCGGCGCAATCTGTGTCCTGAGGGTTTGGTCAAGTTTGGTCACTGCACAGCAAAGTGCTAAAAGCTGTGACTGCCGTACGAGTGCGTATGTATATATATATATATACACATGTACAGCATCTGTTTCTCACTGTACGATTGGAACACCGCACATTAACAGTAGCGATATGTTAGGTACGAGAAGGCGGGGTGGGCTGCAAGATTTTCTTGAGCAAACGAACAGTGTCATCTTGCTCCCCCGGTTGGGTCGTTTTAGTCCCTGTTCAATCGGATGTCTCTTGCGGTAGTGTAGTTGAATGATTGCGAGATGTAAGCGGATACAGCAGGATGCTGCAGGGTACTGTAGTCGCCTGAGGTCTTGGCATCGGAATACTCAGCCAGGCCTGGCCTGTTGGAGCCGAGGGCATCTTCTGCGGCGTACAGCGTATAGTGCGTGATGGTGGAGTTGTCCTAAAACGGGACGGGTCATGCTGGGGAGTCCGGGAGTCCGACTTCGCCAGAAACACGCGTGTTACTTTGAGAGCGTACAGGCGTACAATAACATCGTAGCTTGCTTCGCTCGACGCGTCGACACGTGACGGCTTTGTCAAGTTCTACTTCAGGCGAGCTGGTCAATCGACTTCGGCGTCCAAGAGCCTCGCCACTAATTCTTCAGGCCTTGCGGCCTGCTCACAAGACTACCAAGAGAAGATCCCGAAACTTCCGAGGTCGGAAGAGCGCAAACAAGTCCCCCATCCTCGGGGGCTGCCCACTCCAAGTAGCCACCTGGGACCATGCAGGCGCAGGACGTCGACTTAGATGCTTTCGGGTTAGGAGCTTGTGACTGACAAGCTACTCGCCTTGTGGCCGTGTACCTCATTTGTTGTGAGAGAAGAACCTTACGAAGGCAATGAAAGACGATACAGGGCAAACAAAATCAAGGCAGAAAGCAAGGAAATTAACAGTCAAAGGCAAAGACACGCAAAACAACAGCACAAGCAAAAACAAGGGAAAGCCGAAATGCAAGAAGCCAAAGGCGATTAAAGGCGGCAAGAGTCCAGGATGAGTCCAGGAGACAAGCAAAAAACATAACAAACACTAGAAAGCACACGAGAGTGTCAACAATACGTACAAAAAACAGGAGAAAAAACAAGCAACAACAAAGCAACAACCCGAAAAGCGAGAAGCCAAAGGAGACGAAGGGACAGGCAAAAGCAACCCCCCCTCAAAAAACACACACACACACACACGCACAAAAAAAAAGACATACCCAACAAAAATAGGGTTCCCTGAGCATACTTGCGAGACGATCAACTCAGATTCATCCTTCAGCAGCAACCTCACGCACAAGGAACCGTACTGCTAAGCCGTACAGGTTAGCATGTCGGGATATGTCGGAACACGCCACTTGCTTGGGTTGGGGGTAGAGTCAGTAGAGGTGCAAGCCCTTCCCCATCACATAAGAGCTGTAGGTAGCCAAGGGTCTCAGCGTCTAACATTCGGGTTCAGGGTTTCAGGAGCTGCTGGCGGTAAAAAGGCTAACATCACCGACCTGAAGCGAAACACATCAAGTCTCATGAGTCTGTCAAGGCAAACCTTAGGGGGTTCGGTGGATTCTCATGCGGAGCTCTGGGTTGGGCTGAGAAACGAAGTCCTTGGAACCAGCAATTAGACCCTCGGAGACTCTGAGAGTCTGCCCAGCCACCAATTTGGAGTGGATCCAGGTCGAGGTCAGTGAAGCGCAGAAAGGGCACCGAGGAAGCCGTATCAGAGATCTCAGGCTTTGAGTCTTTGGGGCTTTGAAAGCTTGGGGCTTAACCTGACGGAAATGGGACGTGAGCAGCCTGATGTTTTACTGCTGAAACAGATGCTATATCGCAACCGTTGAGCTTGACAAGCAGGCTAACCCTGCGGGACTGGTTGGAGCCTGCAGGAAGGCTGGCGTCGTCTGCTCCACGAGCGATGAGCGCGTGTAGACAACCACATGCCTTCTGCAAGGCTTAGTGGCTACGCTGCTGCGCTCCTCATTTAGGTATATGAAACAGGAAGAATGCCCAAGATTATGCTCAGCCGTGATCACTTCGGTGGGAACCCACCTGTACGAACAAAATTTACGGCCTGCGCCACATATGACATATTATGCAATGTGTGCAGTGCGGCACTGACATGTTGAGATACCCTAAATCTAGCAGGGCTACCGCCAGGGAAGTAGTGATTTCATGATCATTTGGCTCTCTCCTACTCTCATGTACTGTCCACTTCCCGAGAAATTGGTAACAAACCTTTGACCCTGGCCCCGGCGCGGTTCTGCACGCTTCCAGGCTGCGTGTTCTGGTGCAGCTGTGTCTCGGCAAAGATGGTCACGTTCAAGGTGCCTTCCTTCAATTGACTTGATTTACCGTTGACAGTCTGCAAGTTCCTGTTACCTGCAAACTCTTCACGTGCTGCTCTTTATGTGCCAGGCAATTCCTGTGTCTTCGTGGGGGTCTGGCTTCTTCTGACTGGGTCTTCAACATACACGCTTCCCGCACGAGTACTGCCTCTTCGTCTTCACCTTCGGTCTATGATCAACGTTTCTATGGGGGATGCGCGCTCTCCAATTATCAATGACAGGTACTGTACTTGCTGTACTTGCTGAAGACCTCGCAGTAGTCATGGCAGGACTGGAGTGGCAGAAAGATAGAAGTAGTCTTTGTCTGCTTTGAATGCGAGTGCGGACATCTTGGTTCCTCACTCCAGGTTGACTTTTGTAGACTATCCGAGTACAGCATCACGGTTTTCAGCAATGGATCCTGGCTCGTCGTCCTATGTACTCAAACGTACTCGTGCTGTGCTATGGTCCATGATACACTACTGCTATATTGCGGCTTGTAATGTACTGCGACTATGAGTTCTTTCTTGCAGCTCGGGGTTCTGGAAGGTCTTGGGCAATCTGTGACTTGGACGTGCCAACGGCATCTTGCGCCAAGTAGGCGAGGTAGTTGGAGACCCTGGCACCAGCATCCTAATCTTGACGTGCTTTGAAACGCAGACACATCGGGGAAAGATCTTTCTTACGCAGCCCTCGGACCTCGACACATCGCTGGGCGCTACCCAACTGACCTGCATGGCTGCAAGGCTTGGCGTTGACGATCCAAATGCCTAATAATCTCGAAAATCTCGTGCATTGTTTTGCAGTTCCGGGCTAGGAGCTAGCAGCTGATCCTTGGCAGCTTGTGGGGGAAGTCTGTTGCGGGGCTTTTGTCAGGCTCGAAAGCACCAAGAAGAGGATGTCTTATGGTGTCCTGTCGTATGAAGCAATCTTCTTGTCGGTGGAAGAAGTTTGTTGTATTCAACCTTGGCGCTTCACTGCTCAGCCTCGGCCCTACGCCTCCGGGCCCTGGTCTTTGTCATAGTAATTAACAACAGTCCAGGCGCCTCACCACCTAGTTGCCCGAAGTCTGTGTCTTGGTCAACAAACTCCACCTGAGTCAAGCCAAGTTTGCGGGAGAAGCGTACTGAGTTGTCCGTCAATTTGCTGCACTCGTGGCTGTATTCTGCGCCGGACTATACACTGTAGCAGAGTACTTTCGAGGCTCAGCTGTCGACAGCTTCTCTTACCTGCCCTTAACTCAGAAGTAGTCGTGTTGCATGAAGCTGTTCCGCATGTACCTTTTGCATAACGCCGAAACCTTAAAACGCCCAAGCAAGCCAAAGTGCCTGGGACACGCTGGCGATCATGTCAAAAATTGGCAGAGCAGCCTACACGCGCAAGATTGGAATTCGCGGCTGTGAGGAACATCAGTAGAAGAGCACCAACAGTAACTAGTAACTAGCTAGCCACAAACTGCTCCCTGATTCTGAGCTCTAGCACCCAAGTGAGGCATTAGACCGTGTCGTGAAGTGGCAGGGAGGACATCCAGGTCTGGTATAGTCTTCTCGGCCCCTTTCAAACTAACCCAATCGCTGAAAGCCGCAGCTACAACACAAAACAATGTCGCAACTCTACTTCGCGGCAGCCGCGACACAGGCGTCGTCTGCTCGGTGAGGGTGGAGACAGTGTAGACAAGCAGGTGAGTGCTGTTCTCCTTGATCGTCTCGGGTGGAATGAGCTCCTTGTCATGGTATACAGCAGAGACCGCTAATTACTGTTTCAACTGTCTGTCGGTTGAGGCATTGACAGCATTGGGCTTCAGCTCGCGGGGCAAGAACTGCGGCGATTTTGGCTCATGCTCTTGTGATTGAATCTCTTAGCTCGGGTTGCCTGCGACCTGCTGAGGCCCTTAGCGTAAAGCCAACAAGGGCACCGTTTCACAAGCGATCAAAACCATTCAAAACCCATGTGCAGCAGAACCCAGTGACTCCGAAAGGCAACACTTCCATGGAGCCTAGCCCCTCCAGAACACATCCAAGCAACCTGGTTGGTGCCAACGGCTGTCTCCAGGCCCAGAGTCTCAGCTGAGCTATTCGTTTATTAGGGACTTGGGTCGGACTCTTGGTTGCCCCTGCGTTTTCTTGGGGCCAAAGCTCCTTCGTCTTCATTTACGGGCATCTGGGCCTAACGTTGGGTGAGGACGCATAGAAAGATGGCTAGTCTGAACCCCCAAGACAGCGCCAGAGTGCGTTACTTCCTGGAGTCTGGTGTGTGTGTGTGTGAGAGGATATCCGACGAGCATCCGTGCGGACTGCACCAGCGACATCTTCAGCAAGGTAGAAGCGGTAGTGGACTACCTGCAGCATTCAGCATGCAGAACTGATATCTTCTGCGACATTCAAGGAGATAGATTACGAGTCTTAGGCAAGATGAGAGGAGGCAGCTATAGCCCCAGATCAACCTAAGCAGTCTTCCAAGCTAGGTGGCAAAAAACTCCCCTAATGAAAGCCTGCCATCTTCTGCACAACCTCCATGTAGCGGATGTAGCGACTTTCGGATAAAGGGTAGCCCATACTTTCTCGGAATTTGCCACGCAACCTGCGACTCGTCAGCAGGCGGCTGCCATAACACAACCTTGGCTCTGTGTGTACTAACAAAGATCCTTGACTATTCCGGAGGCTTCATGCATGCGGGAACCGTCTAACAAACACATGTAGCATGTAGCTGATGCAGGGGGCCAACGGTACCTTGCCTAAGAAATGCTCCCTGTCCCCCAGTCTGCCACGGATCCCCTCCCAAGTTGTTCTCGTCAAGATCTCTGTCGGCGAAGCTGGAAATGCTCACCTCACCATCGGCTCAGAGTGTGACTTCAGCTTTCAGGCTTCTGCTCCATCGGCCTTCCGACTCGTGTGGAACAACAAGTTGCCTAATTTTATGTAATGTTACAGGGTCTACGAGTCTACTGCAGGTACCTTGGCCATGGTGTCGTTTATCTCGAGCACCTCAGGGGTGGTCTGCTCGTATAGTGCGGACCTGGAGTAGACCTGAGCAGCTGGAGCAGCGGTTGCTTTGAAAAGTGTTTGAAATGTCTGAATTGGCGAGAAGTTGTCGTCAGATGAACGTACATAGGTGGGAGCGGTTTGCAGAGCGCCGACATCTTGCAAATCACCCGCTGAGGCTGCGGCGGCTATGTACCAGAAGATGCCTATCTGCATGTCCTCGGAGCCAGTAATGCAACAAAACTAGTGGTGGAAGACTTCAGGCCCCCGTGAATCCACCTGCATTGACTTGGGCTCGTCATCTGTGTCAGCGATAGGGAATGATGCGGCAGTACGCAAATTGCAAAGGTCTGCGTGTTCAACTGTGACAACAGAAATGACTTCATCACGCGAGCTTTGTGCAAGCAAATTCTCACCTAAAACCGCGCCCTCGCCCACCTCCCCAGCTTCTTTGCAGGCCAGTCGCTGGCGTTACTGGCACGCTGTTTCCGCTGCCCTTCGCCACATCATTGTAAAGCCTGAGCTGCAAATAGCTGCAAACGAGGATGCTTGCAGCAGAACTGGTCTCTTGGCTCGCGTGCTGGGCATGCTGGGTCATGCTGGGGCCAAAAAACCGATTTCTGCTACTGCAGTCTAGTGTACTCTGCTCTAGTCAACTATATTCTCGAAGAGCTGGTATAGAAGAACAATGCGAGAGGCAGTGCTGGTGGTCATTGCGGCAGGCATTGTAGCCGTTGGCGGTATTGGTATCGGTAGCTGTTGTAGTAGTAGCAGTCATAGCAGTACTGGCAGTGGCAGTGGCAGTGGCAGCAGCAGCGGCGGCGGCGGCAGCGGCGGCAGCAGCGGTAGCAGCGGCAGCAGCGGCAGCAGCGGTAGCAGCGGTAGCAGCAGTAGCAGCGGTAGCAGCCGTAGCAGCGCCAGCAGCAGTGGCAGTAGCAGTAGCAGCAGTCGCCAATCGTCGTCGTCGTCTTTGCCGTCGCCGTCGCCGCCGTCGTCATCGCCGCTGTCGTCGTCATCGTCGTCATCGCCATCTTGTCGTTAGGCGTAGGAGTAGGAGTAGGAGCAGGAGCAGGAGCAGGAGGGGTGGGAGTAGGAGGAGGAGGAGGAGTAGGAGTAGGAGTAGGAGTAGGAGTAGGAGTAGGAGTAGGAGTAGGTGTAGGAGCAGGAGCAGGAGCAGTAGCAGTAGCAGTAGTGGTAGTAGTAGCAGCAGTAGTAGAAATAAGAATAGTAATGGTAGTGGTAGTGGTAGGCAACATAAGTATAGTATATGATGCTCAAATGCTTCGACCCTTCTACCCTTTGACCAGCCAGAGCACCGCGACTTCCCGAGCACACCGTCCGACCCGAAGGAGCGGTAGACACTGTAGGCTGTAAGGCGCCTGAGTTCGGAGATCTATAGTCCAGCATAATGCACACTCTGCTACATTGTATCGTAACTAGTATACAATACTATACTATACAAGACTCAACTATACTATGCTATACTATATATAGTATACGTTTTCTTTTACTGTACCATGTTTCGCACTATACACGGCACATTGTAGGCTATGCTACAATAGAATAGCAAGTGCCTCGCACAGGTCAAGGCCTGGCTCAACACAGCCGCGATATCTAGCCTGCTAATTTGCTGATAGTGGACACAGGCTTCCTGATGCCTTGCTAGTGTCATGCCCTGATCGGAACTTCTGTCCAGGCCTTCGCGACAAATGCCTACCTATACATCTACATGCCTATATGCCAAAGCGATGCCACGACACTGTAGTACGGTTGCGCCTATCTAATTAATCTGATTGCTGCCCGCGCCTTTAGCACGTTTATACTTTTCACAGGTAAGCCGTTGGGACTTACTTCCGCCCTCTATGCACACAGCCCTGAGCCGCAATCCGGGGTCTGACCTCCACTGCAGACATGCAGCGCAGAGTCGGGAGGCTCATCCCAGAAGATGGTTCCCCCCATTTCCCCAGCGTCCAAATCCTGCTTGAGCGTGCTTGAGAGTACACCCAACAACACCTACTCTGCATCCTGAGGATAAATGACTCTTGCAGCTCAATGTTGCGGAAGATGGCAGGGGCCGATCGGCCCGTTTGAGGGATCGCGGCTCGCAGCCTTGTCCACGAAAGTCACATTGGGGACGGCGGAAGAGGAATCACCTGAGCCCAGTGCAGGAGACGACCGGCGGCACACCCTTAAAAGATGCCAACCTTGGGCTGTCGCCTGCACTGCGCTGGAGGAGCTGCTCTCGGCTGAGCAGCATCCAAAAGAAAAACAGTCTTCCCAACTTCTCTTTTGACCTGAAACTTCCCCTAAATCCATCTAGCCGTCTATCCCCCAAATCCACCTAACCGTCTATTGGAGTGCTCCGAGCTGCTTGCTGCTAGAAAAGCCGGTGTCGTTTGCTCCGTCAATGACGATTTTGTGAAAACCAAGAGGTATGGCTCCCAGGTTGTGTCCTGCCAGGTTGGAGGCTCGTGGAAGTTCTTGGATAGTCATGACTTGTATTGCTTTGCCTAGCGAAGCGCAGAATGTTGTTGGATCCTAGTCCTTAGTCCTTCAGCAGAGTGCATAACTCTCCAGACTCTCGTTTGCGGAGGCTTGGGAGGCGCAAATATCCAAATAAGCTACATCTTTCTGTGTATGTCGAGCCGAGCCACATCAACAAGGGATGCAAAAATGAGCTCTGCATAACTGGCAGAACTAATCATCAAAGGTCCTATCTAAGTACTCCTCTTTGGAGGCGTGAAAAGTTGCAGGCTGGCCCATCTACAGTGAATCCGCAAGCCGCTACACACGCAAATTGCGCGGGTAAATGCCTCTTGTTCTTGCTCAAAGCCATCATCACAAAGCCAAGAAACTAGCACACCAAGTCAACTTGCAGGGAGGGGACCCCAATTTTGGAAGATCCCACACATCCAGAGCCCGTTCTAGCACCCGTCCTGCAGCAGGATCTGCTGGTTCGTGCCCACTGGGATGTCCGAGGTGCCCACTTGCGATCGCCATGTGCCGTCGGAGCTGTTTGACAGATACGTGACCTGAGCAAACGCCATTCCAGCACTCTCGTCAAGAGCTTGTCATAAGTGGCATCGCCCGTACCCTCGAGACCCTACAATCTTCAGAAAATCTGTGAAAACCCGAGGCGCATAGTGCGTCACCTGGTCCAGGTTCGGTGGCGGCTGCCAGCTAAGATCACCGGCAATCTCCAGGCCGTCCAAGTCATCGTCCTGCCGGGCATTGTGAAATCGTTGAAGTAACGTCCAGGGAGAAGTCTCCCCGTTGCAGAGTCAAGGGACTAGATGGGGTTTGGATTGGAAGGAGGGGAGGCAGTTCGGGTTCTCTCCACTTGCCGACCCAAGCTTGATTTGTCAAACCTCCAGTCCGACCTCCTCGCGAGCCATGAAGATCCTCAACTCTATCGTGCCCCCAAACCTGGGAAAAGTGACCGCAGCCGTGCAGCCTCAAAACCGAGTGCCCGAGCCAGCGCATATGTATCGCCTGAGTTCAAAATTCTGACAAGATACTGCTGCTATAGTGCCACCTAGTGAATATACAAGTGCTACATATATATATATATATATATATATCATTACTACAGCATATCAGTACACTATACAGAAGCGAATATGAGCACATTCCGCGCGATTCCTGCAACATGATACCGCACTGATACCGCTGTGATCTGCAATTGCCGCAGTAACTATAGTACCTGGAAAATCACTGCACATTCGTTTTGTCAGTATGTCATACAGACTTCGCCTGCTGTTGTCAGTTTCTGTCTAAGGGGGGGAGAGGTTTCTGAGTGGCTCCAAAAAGCCTTGGCAAGCACCTGTTGGACCCCCCTCCCTTAACATCTCCATGACAGAAAGTCCAAGTGCACACCCCGCGGAGGCTCAGGACTCGAGCTTCGGGGCCTTCCTGTTCTGACCGCCAGTAAGGAAAGATGTGGGAACGAAGGCATGGTTGCCTTCAAACTCAACGATGAACTCTGCAAGTAAGGGCATGTTTGTCCTACAGCAGGTTCTTCTGGCAAAACCACAAACTTGCTCTATACTAAATAGAACATATAGTATACCACACAGACGAAATGCTAGATCGTATGGTATACTAAGGAAAACTCAGGGCTGAAGCACACCAACTCGGGAACCCCGCCGTTTACAAGTCCAGTCCCACACCGCAGAACACTTTGGCAGGCACACTACTCTACAAGTATAAACTGACCTGGACTTAGACCAGAGACCAGACATCTTGAGATCAGAGCCGCTGATTGAAAAAGTGGCGGGCACGCTCTGCTCCACCAATCCCGAGCCTGGGGCGTCTCAGAATCTCAGAAACAATCTCAAAAAGAACACGAAGAGCTTTGAGAATGGGACGCTGCACCACTCGCACCGCTCGAGGAGTTTTCTTTAAGCATGACAGAACGTCAGCCTATGAGTTGCAGGCTACGCAAGATTATGACAGCATACTATAGTGACTGTAGTACACTGTACGAGTAGTATACTGTACTATACTGCTTCGCAGAGCAACGGGTGTAGACCGCGATGTCTGTGAAGTTCGCCAGCGGCGTGTCGGGATCCATGGAAGTGTTCCTCGTCGAGGTGAGGAGGCTCCCAGGTTCGGCTTGTGAATTCGTACAGTCCCTTCCCGTCTCTACCTTCCCCTCCCCTTACAAAAGAAGGACCCTCGGAAAAAAAATATATATAAAAGCCCACTGAAGATTAAATGTATCGCCTAAATTGATCTATGTCAATGTGATTGGGGAGAGTCCGTAGTTGCCCCCTAGATAGTTAGTGCAGTGTAGTAGGGCAATTAGTTGTTTGGTAGAGTCTGTTGTTCGCAGACATCGCGCTTTGTGCGTGTTCTCCATTTCAAGTGGACGCCGCTTGCAGTGCTTCTGGTGACTGTACACCCCCCGTGATGCCCATAAAGCCAAAAGACCCAGAACACAATTAGAAAATATTAGAAACCTCTTCGCCCTAGAGCCCTTCCACAATTTGCAGATTTGCTTCTGTAACCTCTTCAGGTTCCATGTGTGCTTTACTATAGTGGTTTTGTACAGTGTACCACTGGTAATGCACGCTTTGCTGTATTACACACAGAAGCCTACACTTCTTGCTCAAACTCCAGGCTCGCCTTGGCTCAGTGCCAAGTCTCGAGATCCCAACTGGGATGAAGGCTCCAATCTGCGAGCGATTCACGTCAGGGCCTCAATTCGCTTGGGGGAACTTGTTGTGGCCTGCATGCAAAGAGCAAAAATCTCTGGTACTGCTCCCGAGCCTCGCGCGGCTGCGGGGCATATGTATATATATGTACATTCCTGATCACAGTTCTCGGCACTCGCTCGCTACATGTCACTTTGCATCGAGATGCATCCCTACATTGCACAGTATTCCGCTCAAGGCTGCACCATGCTGGCGTGGTCTGTGGGACTGCAGCGGGGTCATATTTGCATAATCGAACTCCCTAGAAACGGTTCTACCCTTGTTTCCGAGTATGGCAGAGCCATTCAGCCAAGGGTGCTCTTCATTCCCTGGATGGACAAGACCTGCAAGCCTGTGAACCTTCCTACATATGCCGCAGACGGCTGTACTTGTCACGGCATGCACGGAGAAAGGTCTGCACATGTCTGTATGCAAAAAGGAGACGTTCGGGAACGCATGCCGGGAAAGAATCATATTTTGTGTTGGCCATGACCGCATCACGTACAGATTTTGGGACTCAACACGGGCGTGTAGGGGCGTAGTTAAGTATGTCAAAGCTGTACACATCATCAGCTGCCCCATGCTGCCCCACATTGCCCCACCACCCTGCTGACTCTGGCTCTAAACGTGGCAGCGGGTGGCCTTCCATGTAAATGGCATAGAAGCGAATCTGCGCTGTGTCAGAGGGTTCGTTCCAGGTGACCTGAATCTGAGAACCCTCGACGTGACATTTTTTGAAGCGCGTCACGTGTGAGCGTCTCAGCTTGGTTCTAGCAGGACTGCATGAAGTTGCTCAGAATTCGCACTCGCAGGACAGCTGCCATGTCATGTCAAGTCTCACCCTAACATAGCCAGCAAGCTGTAAAATACTAAAACGGGCTTCAGGTACAGTGAAGGCCTGCACTAAGCAAAGTCACGTCTAGAGTCTTCAGTTGGTCAATGGCTCAGCCGGCGAACATCAACCACAGGGCATGTGATCGAAGGCCTCTCCGCCCAACTCCTCTTGATCCAGGTCTTGGTCCACCAGGAGGACATTCGTGACCGTCGAACTTGTGTCACCTGGAGCTACACGCAACCCATACATCTGGAAATCCATGGAAATCCTCATCCCAATCCACCCAACCCTAAAGGCCTAAGCAAGGTTGAACCACTGCGGAGGCTATCGGCTACGGGTTCAAGCGTCTTGGAAGGTGACAGAAGCTGACACTCTTGAAACGAGTACCGAGCCTCAAGGTCGGTGCATCCAAAACTTCTGCCAAGAAGCTTATTTCCAACACTGTCGGCGAAGTTTGCTCCACCAGGGAGGAGAAGGTGTACACCAGCAATGAGGTGTAAGGAGGCAGCCTCGGGGCAGATGGCCAAGAAATGTTGATGCCCTCGCATGGGAACACTGCCTCTACCAGCGGAAAATATGTGGCAGATCTACCAGTTTACCAGATGTCTTGATCCGAATAACAAACTGCCAACAGACTGCCAAGCGCACCTTTGCAAGACCTGGTTACAATCAGAGGGCCTCTCCCCTCACAGTACAAGACGGTGTTCAGTCAAGTGACCCTTTAATCAAGCTTCTGAGCTTGTGAAATTCATTCCCTCTTAGGCCCTGGCAGAGTTTCTGTAGGTACGGGCAGAGTGTTGGTGCCTCCAAAGCGAAGCTGTTAAGGCAAGGAATGTCAAAAATCGTGATGAATTGCTGTTGTTAACTCTGCGGCAGTTCCAAGTGCCGGACCCAGCAATGCCGGGGCACCAACGACCGAGCGATTAACGTTTGGGCCGTCCAGGTACAGTGAGTAGCCCTCCACCTGCTGGAAATCGCACTCTCGCAATCGGGCCACAGCAAAAAGAGAGTGCTGAATAACTACTGAGTAGCGACTTGGTAACTATTGAGTAACGACTGAGCAACTACTGGTTGCTTTGTTGGTCCCCCAGGGAAGGCGGCATGGCATAATGTGGCCAAGTTGTGGTGTAGCATGCGTCTCACATGGAATTTGTGCCCGGAACGGAGGCCTGTACCGAGCAAATTGCGGGGAGGGCATGTAGTGCTCGCTATCAGATCAGCCAGGGACGTGGCAGGCTCTGCAAGAGTGGGTATACAACAACAACGAATCGGTGGTTCGACATCGGTTTCGTAATCTTATGGCCGTAGTACTAACACTTGCAAAGGTCCTCCGAACAGGAGACAAGGAAAATGCTTGAACATGCCCAGCCTAAGATTTAGCTCAGGGCAGGTTCTCAACCTACAACCAAGCATGCTTTTGATCGGCTGTCGGAGTATGACCAAGAATGTTGGATGCAAAGTCTTGCAAGGGAATGTAAGAAGATGCGTCACGCCAGGGGTCTTGAAAGGGTTAGGTGTTGGACCTCCGCAGTCACTGCAAGTGGTACAACTGGCGTGGTCAGCATTCCCTAGCTTTCCATGTGGTTCGTTTAGTGTGACAAATCTAGCGTGCCATAACTCATGATACGCACATCTTCTGAATGCTTCATTTAATCCCCTGACAAATCCCCCCAAGCACCCTTGCGCGACAAGCCCTCGGCAAGCTGCCTGGCTTGTTTCATTCGGTGGGTCCCAGAAGACGTCGCCACCGATTTCGAGCGTCTCGGCACGGGATCTCTTGATAGAGTAGTAGCTGGCAACATACAAAAACTAAAAGAGAGCCAACACTACATACTAGCTAACCATGTGATAGGAAGAGGGGTAAAGGCAGGGTCTAGGATTCTATGATGTACATCCGCACCAACAGAAAGTCCAATGGAAGTTTTCCACTGGTCATCAAATTGCGATGCAGGGCTGCAAGACTGCTGCAAGAAAGGGCTCCGATAGCGGAAGCTGGGCCAAGGCACATCGAGGTCCACATCCGTGAAGCTGACTGCTGACACACTGGAGGCGGTGTCGCTGAAGTTGAAGATCTGCCAATGACACTGCGACCAGCTACTGAAGCTCAGGATCCAAGGATGCGCTGTCCATGAAGGTCAATGTGAAGATTGTGAAGAACAAGCTACACCTTGATCTTTGACCCTGGTCTGGACCTGGTGGAACTACGTGATGCTGAGAGCTACGCGAATTACCACAGGCATCGGAGAAAGGGTGCCACGGGTGCCTTCGGGGTCGACTGTTCCACGAGGCTTGAGGAAGTGAACACCAGAATTTCGCTTCCTTGGCCAGAGCAAAGCTGAGCACCATCGTGCAGCCAGCTCGAGGGGATCACCTGTACCTCAACCTGTACCCTGAGTCACGGTCCTTGATGCATGGGGGCGAAAATGCACCGCCTCGCCCTCCTGTTGGCGTCATGTCGTTTCCCTTCTATTGTGCGAGCATCCCGGGACTTGGGAGCTCTACTATGATTAACCAGCTCCTCGACTCCTCGACCCCTTTTAATTTGAGTCTTGAACGAACTCTCTGATGCCTTTCAGCACTCTCAGCGTTTTGGGACCCCAGACATCTGAGCAAAGCTCCACCAAAGAACGCAGAACTGAAATCCCCGCACCCTAGCGTCCAAACTCTAGGAACTCCTGAGCCTTGAACAATATCCCAGAGTCGGGCACATTCTGAAAACGGTAGTCGATATTCCAAAACTCTCATGCAAGAGTACGCTGAGTACACTCCAGATCCCACACTTGGCACCAGGCGGGAGCCCAGCGGCTCCTCTGCCGGGAGGTCCAAGTAATCGGTACCTAAGGTCTCGGACTCCCACAGTCAGGTAGTGACGTAGATAGTGAAAAAAGGAAAGCAAGAAGCAGAAACACGGCCATCTGATGGTGTTGAAGTGTTCATGAGTGGTTGGCTCTAAGTTCAGGGGTGTTAGTGACTTCAGCGGCTTAGCCATGGGCTCAGAGTTTCTATCTGGTACCCGAACTGAGGATGCTATACGCTCGCGTCTAGACTAGTCCCGTGCAGCCAGCTGTGCAGAAATGGAGGAACATGATTGATTTCTCGGGTCGATGTTGCAATTGTGGGCTTCATACGTAAGTATACTTCGCTTCTGGCACGCAGGCAAGCTTTGCCAGCACTGCTGAGAAGAAGGTTGAGGGTCTAACGCTTTCTAAGCTGTTTTGAGAGGAAGTGGCCAAGAGAACAAATGGGGTTCAAAAGTCCAGTAAGCAATGGTGGTCAACCCTTTGCCTAACCTCGAAACTGCTCTGAACCCCAAGTTCTTAAGCATTTGCAACATCGCCCGGCCTGCCACTGGCCTTGTGCCAACGAGCGAGCGTCCACTGCCTGCATTGCTTTGCCAGGCTGGGCAGCCATCCAAGACCGGTCATGCTGCAGTGTCAGGGCACAGGGCCATTGATGTAAGTTCGACAGACCTTCTACTTTGGAAGCCTCCCCAGGCATCTACTCGTCAAGAGGTCGGCTGCCTCCCTCCTCTGCAAGATAGACGGCGTAGTGGGTGACCTGTGTCGCGAGTTCACGGCTGCAAGGGCTTTACCAGCAGATAACGGATATCTGGTGAGGGTACTACCAAGAATAGAACACTGGGCAGCATTGTCGGTAGCATAGAACAGTGCATAGCTGGCCAGCATGCAGAAGACAATACTCCGAAAAATAAAAGCAGCTGACTCCAGAGCTGGGAAAAAGCTGAAGAACTGCACAAAACAGTCGAAGCTGAACACACACACACACAACACTTGTCCAATAAGGTTGTTTCGGCCGAGCTGAGGTATAGTA